AAATAGATAAACGGAAAGTAAGTTTTAGGCTTTATCCTTTGTTCTTGTTTAACAAAATCGATTTAAATTGTTACGTTTTTACCACTAAGTAATGATAGATTATTGTTAATAATTTTTTTATTTTTTGGATATAGGAAAAATAAAAAAATTGCAGGAAATAGCATTTCACGGTTTCAAATTTCAAAAATTTTCTTGGGATTATCCCTCTAATAAGTAATGATAAATTACAGTTAATATTCTTTTTTACTTTTTGTGCATTTTTCCATCTTTTATTTCAAATACAACTATAGTTAGCATAAATTTTAGAGCAAATTTGGATGCTCAGAATGCAGGAAATGGCATTTCCGTGCTTCAAATTTCAAAAATTTTCTGTGGGAGTACACCCCCACACACCTGACCATTGCTATCCTCCTCTAATAAGTAATGATAAATGATGGTTAATTTTTTTTTAGTTTTTGTGCGTTTCTTCCTTTATTTATTTCAAATACAAGTATAGTTAGGATAAATTTTGGAGCAAATTTGGATGCTCAGAATGCAGGAAATGACATTTCCGTGGTTCAAATTTCAAAAATTTTCTGGGGGAGTACACCCCCACACAGCTGACCATTGCTATCCTCCTCTAATAAGCAATGATAAATGATGGTTATTTTTTTTACTTTTTGTGCGTTTCTTCCTTTATTTATTTCAAATACAAGTATAGTTAGGATAAATTTTGGAGCAAATTTGGATGCTCAGAATGCAGGAAATGACATTTCCGGGAGTCAAATTTCAAAACTTTTCTGGGGGAGTACACCCCCAGACCCCCCATTCATGCGTAGTATATTTGCCACACACGTGGCTTTCAGCCATTGCTATCCCCCTCTAATATATTATCTCACAGAAAGGTCCCTTTTCAAAAAATGCCCCCCCCCCACGGGAAAATCCTTAAAAAAGGCCCTGCTCTCTCCTCCACCTCATCCACAGTTTCACCTACTGCTGTTAAGTTAGTGTCGTCAGCAAACATCCCAGGAGTTGTGCGTTCAAAGCAGTTTGGAAAATCATTTATACAGGGTGTATAAAAAAAACAGAACAGATTTGAAATTGCTCTCAATTTCGAAAAACAGCTATTAGTATCCAGCTTTTGATGTATATAGCTTCTTTGGGTACTTTAATGTAGAATAATGAAAAAAGATCTCCAACTCAAATTTTGTAAATCAGGGGGTGTGTCTTTTCCAACAAACTAAAAGTGGCTTGCGCACGAAATTTAAAAGCTTTAATCATATTTTGAGTTAATAGATGGAAAATTTGTTGGGTTTTTAATTACTGTACAACAAACTGATCTGATTGGTGGAAAAACATTGTGATGATTGAATCAACCAAACAGTTTAAAGCAATTTAGTTTAAAGAAGTAACGGTCACAGATTGCTTCAAAACAAAACGTACATGGCGCCGCGCTACGCAACGTAAAAATTGCCTTCGCGTGGAAAATATGGCTTTTCTCTTTATTTTCAAATGGAAAAGCATTTACCTTTACAAGACTAACAAAAAATACATTGTGAGTTTTTCAAAGACCTCAAATAGCACTCGTCCTTCGAACTCGTGCTATTCTGAGGTCTTCGAGAAACTCACTCGTGCATGTTATATACAAATTGCACTCGAAATCATGCTATTACCTATACTATAATAACATACCTAGCATCTTAACCCTAGTGAAATTAACAAATATTTTCAAAGTGTGAATACAGACCCAAATTATACGACTCCCGAGCCTCTTCAAATCTCCGAAGGAACAAGAATTCCTTCGTTGTCAATTCATGAAGTTCAAAATCTTTTACTCAATCAAAAACGCTCTTCATCGGGTCCGGACAATCTGCCATATTGGTTTTGGAAATCGTTTGCTATTGAATTAGCTCCTATTGTCACAGAAATTTTTAACATGTCACTAAAAACCAGCAAAGTACCTCAGAAATGGAAATCCGCTAATTTATTACCACTCCCTAAAGAATCACCATTAAATTCGTGCAACCAGTTAAGACCAATCTCTCTGACGGACATCATCATGAGACTATTCGAGAAGTGCGTGTATAAACCTGAAATCGAACCTATCACAAGATATAACATTGGTCTTGACCAATTTGCCTAAGGGTCACAACTCGACTATGGCTCTGATTAAGGCAGCGTTTACACTGTACCGTTTTCGTAGCGTTCTCGTATTGTTCGAGAGAACTAGACTATTATATTGCGTTCCCTTGAGGATTAAGAACAATACGAGAACGCTACGAAAACGGTACAGTGTAAACGCTGCCTAAATCCCAACATCAATGGCTAGAGTGGCTGGATAAAAACGCTAATTATGTTAGAGTGCTGTCGTTCGATTTCAGCAAAGCATTTGATAGTGTGCCCACGATCTTTTGTTTGAAAAAGTTAAAAAGCTACCCATTAATCCGTATGTGGTGAACTGGTTAATTAGCTTTCTAGAAAATAGAATAGAGTAATGGTTGATGGAATGGTTACAGAATATTTATATTAATATTAATCGTGCTGTCCCTCAAGGTACTGTTTTAGGCCCAGTTCTTTTCTCAATAATGGTTGATGATATTAAAACTGCTGATCCTAGTAATGCGTTAGTCAAATTTGCTGACGATTTCACGTTAGGAGTGCCTGGCAACGAAAGTGGTGACACATCTCGATCTGAAGCTGCCTGTTTACAGGATTGGGCGGAAGAGAATAGAATGCCCTTAAACTTGGAAAAAACGTACGAAATGGTTGTTCGCAGACACACCTCTGTAGTTTTGCCCGAGCTTATCCCTTCAATTAAGCGAAAAACATGGCTAAAGCTTTCAGGAGTTACTCAACAAGATAATCCGTGCAACTGGGATTTGCACTTCGAAGAAATGCTCAAAAAAGCAAGTGGACGAATGTACATTATGAGAGTTTGCAAATACTATGGACTATCAATTAAACAATTAGATCTGCTGTTTGATAGCCTAATTATGTCGATATCCACTTTTGCTATTGAGCTGTGGGGTTGTGCATATGACGGTAAATATTTGAACCAAATAGATAAATTCATTAAACGTGCATATAAGAATGGTTATATATCAAAACGAACACACATTAAAGAAATACGTGATAAGAGAGATAAGAAACTGTGGAACAAAATAACATCAACTGAGGACAATGCATTGCTTGAACCAGTGGCGTGCTGGGTACTATTTTTTCTGGCGGGGGGGGGGGCGAGTGGGCTGTCAACAAATATGCGCCCCTATAATGTTTCGCTTGATAAACGAGGGCCGAAGGCACGAGCCGAGCGCCGCAGGTGCGAGGTTTGTCTAGGGGAGTCCGGGGGCATGCCCCCAGGAAAATTTTTGAATTTAGAGTCTCTGAAATGCCATTTCCTGGATTTGGGGGGGGGGGGAAGATTTGACAGAAATGTGATGGTCAGGAAACGGCATTATAACGTGTCGAAATTTGCAATTTGGTTTGAATTTAGTAGTAGTAGTAGTAGTAGTACTTATATTATACAATGCTAACAACCTCCAGCGATTAATCTAATCCCAATTCTATTCTCTACTGATCTAGTGATATGAATACAATGACAACATACAGCTCTTTTATGCAATAACACACGGACCCCACGCATATGCATTTTAAGGTTTCCCTGCCTGGCTGCCAAAAGGGCGCGTTTCACCATTATTTCATTACTCACATTACTCATGATGTTTCTAGCGCAAGCAACTAAATTGCGTACACAACTTTACATTATCATAACTTAAACTATCTAATTTGCGCCGCTCTCGTGATTCGTGAAGCATAATAAAGGGCATAATACCAGCAAATAGGGCATAATTCCCGTGATCGCTTCGAAACCTGACCAATATTCCGGTGATGAGACATTGCGTGTGATCACAGTTCATGTTTCTATATGAACGATTTCGTGTGAGTCGTGAGGTAGCAAATTAGCAAATACGGTTAGACAAAATAGTCTGTATAACTAATATATCACTTTGTCGCCTATGCGCTTAGTCTGTTTTATAAGCCTATAAACACATCTTTTCTCGGAGGAAGTAAATATATTTTTTCGAATGCGTTTTTTCCAACCCACTTTCAAAACTCGGCGCGGGATCGGCGCCCCATTTTCATTTTTGCGCCCTGCAAGAATTGCCGGCTGGGGGGGGAGGGGCGTGGCCCCCCGCCCCCCACCCCTTGCCAGCACGCCACTGGCTTGAACTGCTGCCGGAAAAATGAAGTAGGTTACTTAGGCCTAGAGGGCATGAGTATGAACTCCCCCTTGTGAGAACAGAAAGATTCAAAAGGTCGTTCATAAATCGTTGTCTGTATAAATTTGTTTAGACTTTAATGTATTAAAAACTTTTTAAAACTTTTTACGCTTCTTAACTTACATTGTAAATATAACTAGATCAATTACCTTTCGATTGTAAACTCAGACGGATGTATCTGAGTATTTTAATAAAGACTATTATTATTATTATTATTATTATTATTATTATTATTATTAATCATGTTCGTATGAACAACATGGCCGCTCAAATTTTCAAAAAAATCATATAAATTTATATAAATTTATCAACTTTTACTTGCTCTTTGGAAACCTGAATGCTTTTTAACTTTGATGTTCAATTAAGAAAGGAAAATTTTGTGTATATATTGGAGAAGATGATGTTTTAGTCAGCTATTGGGCCAATTTTAATAAATATTTTTTATACACGATGTCGCGACAGCAGCGATCGAAATTAAAATGGACAGAGCAAATGAATACAGATCTGCTAGAATGTAAGAAGAAAGCGATGGAATTCCTTAAATCGGAAAACCCGCCATGCCATGTGAACGGCAGAAAGAAAGGCTATATACGAGTTATGAACGATCTGTGGGACAAGAAAGGATACGAACATCTTGGATTGAAGAGCCAAAACCTGCGAGATCAAGCCGCTAGGCTTGAGAAAATTAACGCTACAGCTGAGACTCGTCCTATCGGTAAGGTAAGCGGCGGAGCGGTTATCGATGACGAAAGAGAGCAGACATTAGACGAAAACCAGAGAAGGCACAACACGATTTCACAACATGAATTTAGCAATTTTGAAAATCAAAACACCATTAGTCAAAATGCAAATTTGGAGGTAAACAGCAATCTGGATTTGCATACAGACAATGATATTGTCCAAAATAGTCACGAACGGCAAGAAACCGAAGCTGTAGAGAGCTTTGAAGTGGCCAATGACTGTCCTGGTGAACCACACGCCGGCATACATGAAGCAGGACGTTTACCCGACTATGTTGCTGTTGATATACCATCGATTACCATCTGGGGACGCAGAGCGGACGGCTCAATAATTACGGTCAACTCGTCAACCATAGTTAATGCATACGATGAAATTACGCGATGGCGTAAAAATACCTTTCTCGTCCCGTATGGCAAAGTTGGGCGAGACTTTATCGACCAGCTAACACAACATATAAACGATTGGAACAACGCATCGCAAACACAACACATAGCGCTGAAAGCTGCAATTGTTCTCTTGGCAACGGCACTGCAAAAGCCAAGCGTAAAATCGAAGGCAAAAGATCACAAAGAGTGCTTGGAAAAACGACTAACGCTATGGAAAGAGGGAGAAGTCGAGAGCTTACTTCGTGAAGGCCGGTCCATTCAAAAGCGTCTAGCAAAGGCTAAAAGGACGGAGCCTCCAAATAAAGCGAAGATATTTGCCAAGTTGGTCATGGAAGGTCAGATCAATTCTGCTTTGAGATATCTCAGTGAGGCTGATTGTGATGGAGTGTTGCCTTTGACTGACGACGTGATGAGACAGCTTCAGGAGAAACACCCTGAGGCACAAGAGGCCAAACTTGGCTCGTTACTCTTCGGGCCATTTGAGGAAGTGCACGATTCGTTATATCAGCAGATCGATGGCGAAATGATACGCGAGACAGCATTGCGAACCAAGGGCTCCGGCGGCCCTTCAGGAGTGGATGCAAATGGATTCAAGCGTATTTTCGCATGTAAATCGTTTAAGAAATCAGGCGTGAACTTGTGTGAGGCAGTAGCAACAATGACCCGGCGGCTATGTACGGAATACATTGACCCGAGAACTATCGAGCCTATATTAGCCAACAGGCTTATACCTCTTGACAAAGGCGAGGGTGCGGTTCGTCCAATTGGCGTCGGGGAAGTTATCAGGAGGATTGTCGGGAAATGTGTTATGAAAGTGATTAAGCCCGACGTGATTGATGCCAGTGGCTCGCTACAGGTGTGCGCAGGTCTTAAGAGCGGAAGTGAGGCAGCTATTCATGCGATGCACTCCATATTTGAAGCAGACGAGACAGATGCCGTACTTCTGATTGATGCCTCAAACGCATTCAACGCACTCAATCGAGCGGCTGCACTCCACAACATAACAGTTCTGTGTCCATCTATGTCAACTTACGCAATTAACACCTATCGCGAACCAGCTAGACTATTTATATCTGGTGGAGGAGAGATCAAGTCCACCGAGGGTACCACACAAGGGGATCCCCTGGCCATGGGGATGTATGCCATCAGTCTTCAACCCCTGATCACCGGATTGAATGTGTCAAGCAATGTTAAGCAATGTTGGTTTGCTGACGACGCAAGTGGCGCGGGATTTCTGGAAGATATCAAGCGATGGTGGGAACACCTGAATGAAGCTGGCCCTAATTTGGGATACTTTCCAAATGCTAAGAAATGCTGGCTGATCATAAAGCCTGGAAAAGAAGAAAGTGCTCATGCTATTTTTGATGGGACAGCGATCAATATCTCTGCACAGGGGCAAAAGCATTTGGGCGCAGCCTTGGGTTCTATGGCTTTCCTGGAAGAATACGTCAACGGCAAGGTAGAGGACTGGGTTAGCCAAATCGTCAAGCTAGCTGAATTCGCAGCGTCACACCCACAAGCCTGCTATGCCGCCTTCACCTTTGGCCTCCGCCATCGATGGACGTATTTTCTTAGAACACTTCCAGATATAGAAGATTTACTGGAGCCCTTGGAGCGTGCTATTGCTGATGTCCTGATGCCATCAATTACGGATCATCACTGTACTAAGAGTGAAAGGGATCTCCTGGCACTCCCAGTACGAATGGGCGGTCTTGGCCTTGTAAATCCTAGACAGGATGCAGCACTGCAGTACGAAACGTCGATAAAGACCACAGCGCCGCTGGTAGAGAAAATTATCGCACAAGCCTACGAAATTCCAGATGACTCTGTTATTCACACACTGCAGCAGAATGCGCGAAATGAAAAGAACGAAGTACTTCAGGCTAAACGGGATGGTATTAAGAACTCTCTACCCCCGAAAACACGGCGTGCTATGGAACTAGCAACTGAAAAAGGTGCATCCAACTGGCTAACAGTTATCCCCATTAAGGAAATGAACTACAATCTGAACAAGGGTGAGTTTCGAGACGCAGTAAAGCTGAGATATGAGTGGAAAATTGCTGATAAGCCATCAGTATGCGTGTGTGGCGATACTTTCAATATTGATCACGCAATGATCTGCAAGCGAGGTGGATTCATGATACAGCGCCACAACGAGCTGCGAGATCTTGAGGCTGATATGCTTAACATCGTCTGTAATGATGTCGAGGTTGAACCCGTTCTTCAAGAGTTAACGGGCGAGGTTTTACCAAGAGGAGCAAATACAGCATCCGACGCTCGCCTAGATATCCACGCTCGAGGGTTTTGGGAGAAACAAAGGTCCGCGTTCTTTGACGTTAGGGTTTGTCACCCCAACGCGGAATCCTACAAAGACCTGAGCCCTCAACAGATATACAGGCAACATGGAAACGAGAAGAAGAGGATGTATGCCCAAATAGTGATGGAGATAGAACACGGAACGTTTACACCACTAGTATTTACAACGACTGGAGGTATGAGTGAAGAGTGTAAGAGATATCATAGCAGATTGGCCGAGCTCATAGCAGCGAAGAAAGGCGAAGACTACTCTACGACCATGTCCTGGATACGAGCCAAGGTCTCCTTTGCCATCTTGCGGTCAGCTCTACTTTGTCTTAGAGGGACTAGAGCACCCAGGAGGATAACTACGAACGTTCAAGAAACGGACTTCGAAGTAGACAATTGGTCTGCCTTGAACAGGCCTTAAAGGCCTAGCTGCCTTTAACCAGTTGATTAGTTTCTCAACTTTATATTGAGTTTGAATATGTAATTGGAAATTTTAATATTTATCCTAGGGAAGCTTGTAATTATTTTATAATTGTTAAATTGTATATGTAATAAATTATTATGCATAGTCCAACATTATTATTATGAACATTATTATTATGAACATTATTATTATGAACATTATTATTATGAACATTATTATGAACATTATTATGAACATTATTATGAACATTATTATGAACATTATTATAAACATTATTATGAACATTATTATTTTACTAATAGAGTCCATGTTTTTAATTATTATTATTATTATTATTATTATTATTATTATTATTATTATTATTATTATTATTATTATTATTATTATTATTATTATTATTATTATATTTGGGAAATGGATCATTTTGTAATTAAAAGTGACATTTTTGGGGGATTTTTCAATTCTAAAACTATCCTTAAAATTATTGTGTTACCATGACAACTACTTTCAATACTTCTTATTCAGAAAACATAATGGTTTTGTCAGTAAGGCGAGGTTTTCTGCATGCATGTATTTTCTAGTACATGAAGTATATATATCTATAGTGATTATAAAATGAAACACGAAACTTTATTACATGCAAAGGTAAAGGCACGTGCAATGTCGTTTTCAATACAACCCGGATTAGATGCGATGGTTGTTTTCGAGGAAGTTATCAAAAAATTAAATCCTATATCGTAAATATACCAACAGTATAGTGCAAAATTTAAATAGCATGTGCAGTAAGTGCTTTATTTACCTGAAAATCCCTATAATACACCCATCCTTCATACGCAAACATAATTCCTTCGCCTCCCTCATGCACGACCTCTTCAGTAGCATTGATGAGTTGGCAATTTACATCAAATTCATTCCTCGCTTTATGATTGAACTTGAACATCACACATGTTGGTATAAGAGAACAGTAGACGAAACATGTTGCTTCATGTTCAACTTGATGACTGGATATGATATTGCAATTCGATGAAGTAAAGCTTGCTGAAAAAAAAAAATATATATATATATATATATTTATATATATATAAAGATAAAGAAAAAATGAAACTGCATGTTTACTTCATAAGATTTATTCCCCACAAACTTGTTTCGTATGACAAGCAATGCTTGTCACACTCATCAGGTGAATTTAAATGTCGCGAATTTAAATGTGGCCAAGGTTATATATATATATATATATATATATATGTTGTTGTGGTAGCTTGTGGAATATGTGATTTGGTGTGGATGCGTGTCAAGCCTATACTCAGAAAATTTCTGAGCCCTATAACGAGTATTGAACCACGTAACCTTCTGATAACGGAAGACTTGCAGTTAACAGTACACATGTACCACACAGAACTAGTAAATAACGTAACCTTTGCTCACCATCTGATGCCTTATAGCTCAATAGTTAGAGCGTATGTCCGGTTATCAGAAGGTTACGTAGTTCAATTCCCGTTAGGGCTCAGAAATTTTCTGAAACCAGGTTTCTATCTTTATATATATATATATATATATATATATATATATATATATATATATATATATATATTGTACGAAATTCGGAAGCCAATTCCCAAAGAGTTATTAATTAACAATTGAATATTCACCGTAATCACTGAGCCAGAGGCGAATAATTGTTTTAGTTTAAATTTTTAATGAATAAAACAAAATATCCAAATTAAAATTCAAAACTGTATTTGGCCGGTTTTACGGTTACTGTTTTAGTGCTGCAGTGTTTATTGTATGCACGCACGCTTTCAAAATAGCTTCCTGTGCGTCTTTATTGCTTTTATTAATTATTACAAAGTTGTTTTTCTCGATTTCTGCTTGTAATATAAACACAATGATGGAATGACTTTTTTACCAAACTTAGAATTAAAAAATAGTTTCTGTTTAGCATTAATTTGTTCAGGAAATTGCTGAGAAAATTGGTATAAAAGTGGAATGTAAAACAATTACTCGACTGCCTCGAAATGAAGTTTTAATACACTTTGCACTTTACAAGTTTCGAAAAAAACAATACAGCGGCAGGAAACCATACAGCACAATGAAAACATACATATCAAAAGAAATAGTATCGTACAAATTGAGATACTTATAGGATACAAAACAAAATGGTTTTAAAAGAATATCACGACAAGGTTTTGCCCAACAGTCGGGATAGTTTTTACTATTTGTTTGAAGTGAATGTTTCGCCATTTCGGAGTTTTAAATCATCCTCGGTCCCAGGGCCTCACGGCTGATACTGCGTTGCCGGAGGCCCTGGCGAAAACCAAAACCGGAACTTCAAAAATCTTGTAGTTTGCCGGAAGTAAACGTAATAAATGCTGACTCTGCATCTTTTTTTGCAAGGAGTGAACTTTGAGAATTTCTCGAAAGAAATAATGTTTTACATGCAAGATAAACATTAATTTGATCTGGTTATTTCACCATTAAATGTTTTAATGATTGACCAAATCAGTAAACTAAAGAATCATGTAAATGTTTCAATTATGAAAGCTGTTCAAGTCATCAATCGAAGGATACAATGTGTAGTTTGGGAGTGTCATTGAATACGGACAGCAATCAATTGGAGAACATGAAAGTTTTTGAATTTTTATTATAATCGACGAAATATACAGATAATTTAAAAGCGATAGTTGTGGACGAAGCCCAATCTTGTTACTGAATGGTGAGTGAGTGATACTGATATATTTGGTTGTTTCTCAATATGCTTTCTTTGCTATATTATCTGCAAGACTGTACATGTACATACAGATAACATATATTCTGTTTAATACGTCTGGTCTAAACGCTGCATTATACATGTGCCAAGTCTAGAAAAGTTTGTTCAACCTTTTAAGTGCTACCAAATTATTTTACTCAGCTTAACATGCCAGATGATTGAGTGTACTGGTCAATGTGAGAGTGCTACTGCTCAATGGGTTAATCAGATTATCTATTGTACTTTACTATCTTACTGTCTAATGACAATTTTGCTCATCAAGGGACAAGGGGAGAGTGGATATAATTGCAAAGTAATTACTTTGCCGCTTTGGACAAATGTATAAGTTACAGTATGTTTACTACGTACCGGTATGTACATAAATTCAACATTTAAATCAAAATGTCAAACTTTATTGTTTGAGTCAAACTTTATTATTTGATTCAAACCATGTAAATTCACATTAGATTTGGCACATGTAAAATGCGGCATTTAGACAGAGACAATGAGCATAAAAACCTGAAATATTATGTATACATACTACAATACTACAAGCTAGTATCATATTGTACAGTTTAATACATATATATGACTTGAAATATGTATTTTCTTGCCAGCCATTTTCAATCATAAAATTATCCATGTTGCTGTTAAATTATGATTGGCCTAAAATTTTTGGATAAAGATTGTTTTAATTTATAAACATTGTACTACTACTTTAGGAAGGATTTCAGGCCTTGCTATGAAAGGATTGGTATGTCGGGAAGTTTGTTTCTTCATCAACTCAGAGAAAGAAGTTGCATCAACTCAGAGAAAGAAAGAAATTTCATCAACTCAGAGAAATAAAGAAATTACATGAACAAAATAAACAATTTTGTGTCATTGATATAAATAATGATTTATTCTTACAATTTCCTCTATGAAAATTTGGTGTGTTAATAAAGATACTGTAAAAATAACAGCTTTATGGTGCATCCATGCTGTGCTTTAATATTGCAGTGGTGTAGGAAATGGAGGTGTGTGGGTACCAGTGTGCTTGTGTGTGGAGGCCGGATGCTCAGGAGTTCCCCGACAAGGAATATCAAGTCCCCGACAAGGAATATCAGGTTCCCTGACAAGGAATATCAGGTTCCCAACAGGGGGCTATAATCTTTCAAACAGTAAAATTATTGTTTTGTATGTTCAACTTATGCTCACACATGAAAATGTTGAATTTTTTGGCTCTCATGAAATGGTGCAGAATTTATTGTCTGTAACAGTGCACTTACCAGGACTACAAAACAAGGTCATTACAAAACATAATTTTTCCCAGTAAATTCCACTTCCCTGATTGGGGAGGGGCTAGAATTTCCACATAGGGGAACTACAGCCCCCCTCCCCCATACCTGATCTTTGCACTGCCTCTGCCTTGCCCAATTTCTCTTCAAAAGCTTACAAATTATAAATTTGGTGCTTTTGACATGAAGTGCTCCTCAATTTTAAATTTCAAAACTTTCCTCCTGTGCCTATGGTGACTAATTAAACCTTGAAATCTAGCACTATAATTTGTGAAAATTATGTCAACTGCATGTAAGAGATTCAGAAGTTAGCTTCCCAGTTAGTTTCCCAGTTTCATTATTTAATACTGAATGTATGTATACAGCATAAAATTGGGAGGCTCATCACCAGTGTAGCAAAGTTGCAGTATTACTATTAACAATATAATTTGTCAACTGTAAAAAACATTGATAGCCTATAAATTAAGCTATATATTGCATGAAATTTAAGGCAAAACAAGGTGGAAGAACTAACATTTCCAGCTATTATATTAATCACTTTGTCATTATTAAATAGTATTAAAATACAATATTTCATTATTAAATTCATTTGATATAAAATACAATAATTTTACATAAATTAAGAGCCTTTGATGAAATTGATATAAAATCAATAAAGTATGTCTATTAAATATAGTATATTATAAAATAATTTATATTTTATAATATACTATATTTAATATAATATTATGTATGGCATGAACCCCTCTTGCTTTAAAAACCACACAGACACTCATTCACGATTTTCTCATTTGTAATTGAAAGATGCAAGACATCACTCACAATTTTTGTAGATTTGTACAATTAACGGTACAGTCTTTCTCGCATAGCCTTTCGCCTGTCTTTGTTTATACTCTGTATATAATTAAATCTCGTATATAAAACTATAAAATATCCCTTCGGCTTCGGCGATTTCAATCTTTAAATAATCCAATGTCCAATTTTGTGCAGCTTTTTAATACATTGTGACACAACATCCAACATTTTTTATATTAAAAATAAAATTTCCATTGATAGACAGCAGATTTCAACGACCAAAACGACTCTTCGTCTTCTTTGAAGAGATAATACACTCCTATCTAGTATCTACTCCTATTGTCAGCCATATTTATTAGTAAAAGTTCGTGTTCAATTTCCGCATTCCATTGTTTTCATGCGACCAATCAAATCACTTCTCGTTTTGGTTTTCGCCAGGGCCTCCGGCAACGCAGTATCAGCCGTGAGGCCCTGGGACCGAGGATGAGTTTTAAATAAGTTTTAAATTGTCCGTAAATATGTTTTACACAGTAAAATAATAAAGGAAATCCTCCCTTTCAAGTTAAATACAACATTTTGCGCTTTTTTTTTTCGTTTTCTGAGGACAATTTTTTCAATATTTCGTCGATCTTGAAACCAAATTTGCTGAATCATTTTGTTTGAAAAGCATTATTTACTAGTCAGGTAGTAAATAATGGGTCAGATTTACTAGTTAACTAGCCAATCAGGATGCGCGAAAGCTCATCTGATATGCAAAATTTATACTAACAGCGTTTATTTACAAAATTATTGACATGTAGTGTTAACAAACAAAATCAATCTTCAACGTGCCCTATGTTGAAGATTGATTTTGTTTGTAAATAAACACTGTATGCATGTAAATAATTTTGTAAAAGCACCTTTGGGAATTGGCTTGCGAATTT